CACTTGATGACTTGTTTTTGAAACAGCTTTCCCAAAAATAATTAGTTTATTATCCTGGTGTTAGTATGCTGGAGTTCCCTTCTTAATAACCAGTAAATGTAAAAGCTGAGACTAGGTTTCCCCAATATTTTCTACTTTGGAGCGATAGACAATAAGTTTGCAGTACAGCAGATAGAGGTAATACTGGGACTCCATGGGTGCATCTACATGTCATCATATGACAATGTTGCTACAGTGCTGTGGTTTAGTACTTCTTTTTGAAAGTACTAAAGCACGGTGCAGTATGGGTGGTTACTGCGCCGTGCGCACAGTTAAATTTCACTGCTGCGTCACTGTAGTGGTGAGCTGTTCCCAGGGAGCATGCTGCTACAGCGACATAGCTGGCAATCACATACAGACACACGATTCCTACATTGCTGTAGGACACTATATGGTGATGTAGCGCGTCTCTGTGTTGCCATAGGGCAACGTGGAGATGTGTCCCATTTGTAGTAATGCAGAATAACTGCTGAATCCTTGTTGTCAGTCAGTTTTGAAGCCATTCTTATAATAGGTTTTAGGGGAGCAGGACAGCTTCTGTTATACCATACCTCAGGCTCTGTTGCATTGAGTAACTAATGAATTTTGTAATTGCACGAAATTTCCTGTCTAAATTGTTTTCTGACTTTAACAATTTTCTACCCAGAGAAAGCTTTTCCCTTTCCTCCTCTTCTAGCTAGTTGAAAATGCCGCTTGCTGAGAATGTGGTCAGACTTGCATCTTGCTTGCTCTCTGTGCTCTAGAAGTGTTGCAGATAGGTCTTTAAAGGTCAGTGTTACAAGGCTAATATACACTATAATGGCCACTTTCAGGGTTAACAATAACTTCTTCCCTTAATAACCTGAGAGGGCTTTGTCACCGTTACAGATAGGTTAGATGGCCTACAGGACCATTTGTCTTTATAAGAAATTAGAAATGTCTAATGCTTGTATTTAATAGCTAAATAGAAACTCTCTTTTTCAGACTCAGCTGCAGTCTCAAAGGGTGCTGCTTCTCCAGGGCACAGATAGCTTGAACCGAGCCACTCAGAGCATTGAGCGTTCACACCAAATTTCTGCAGAGACTGATCAGATTGGTACCAATATAATCGAGGAACTTGGGGAGCAGCGAGAGCAGCTGGAACGCACCAGAGGCAGAGTGAGTATAGCACTTGTTACCATTTTAACATAAAAGCTTGGTATGCACCTACTGGGAATGATAACACCAAATAACTCCTGTGGAGACCTGCCTAGAGCTTGCAGAATTATTCCCTGGGATGTTTGTGTAGATGTCTGGGAGGAAGGAGTAGACTGTAGACGGAAGAAAAGTGAAAATACTCCCAATAATGTGTAGCCTGTAGGTCTGCAAATACTCCACTATAGAGAGCCCTCTGTCATGAGGGGTAAAGTGTGAAATAGCTTTTAAACTCATTATTAGTTGGGTTTCAGGGGTCTATGCAAGGTAATCGGTATTAATCGAAATTCCAAGTATTTCTTTTCTTCCCCACCTGGCAATGTAAACTAAATTGAAATGGTTAACTAGTTTTCACCCTACCTTTTATACTTGGACTAAATGAGCCAATAAGTGTGAAGTTGCAGATGGACCATATTAAGAGCACTTAAAAGGCCAGTGTCTACACTATAAAGCTTTTTAACATGTGCAAAGTGTCCTCTATCGCAATACCTAGCTCATGTTAGGGTAATTTCAGTTTGTTCAGCGGAGGTAAAATGAACAATTTACAGTCCTCCACCATCTGAGGATGTGCTGCTCTCATGTCCATCTCCACTCCTCTCTACCCGCTCTATGCACACCTAGAGCAGGCATAGAGCCCAAGTGTCCTGGCTTCTAGGCATGCACCTGCTTGTCAGCCTTCTGCCAAGTCAGAGCTGTGCAGGGAAGAAATGGTATTAACCCTTAACTTGCAACTTCTCACAGCATGTTCAGAATTTAACATCACTTAACATTTCACAGATTTAGTGTGGTCTAAGTGAAACATACAACTTCACCTTAAGTCTCTTCTGTTCCCCTGAGGACATAGAGGAAATGACAAGACAGTTAATAGCTTAAATTACATACATTTGTTAAAGTTAGAATTTAAATACTGAAGCATTTATTTTGATTTGAGTTATTGTCAAATGGTATCTGCTCACTTTCCAAGTAAATATATTTTTCTACTACAGCTTTGCTCAGTTAAGCTTAGTTATTTCAAAAGCACGATCAACAATAAAGATTTAGTTGACTGTACCTTTGCTAAATTTCTGCAACCCTTCTACCTTCAATAGATTTGCATACTTTTAACTGAAACTTGGAAAGACATTCCATGGATGCAGAAGAAGCAACAGTTAGAGGGGGTTTTTTGTTTTGTTGTTTGGTTGGTTGATTGTTTTTAGTCCCATTGCTTGTGTTAGAAAGCTCTTCTAGAACTTGATTTGTTCAGTACCTCCTCCTAATTCCTTTTAGTGCCATGATATGACTCTACATATGCTGGGAGATGATCTTGAGTGACAGTGTCATGCTTATGTAGTTGTATGTAGTCTAAAGCACAGCTCCATTCTGCTCCAAGATATCAAGAAAACTGCCAGTGTCCTAAGGGTTAATAGTACTCCTGATCAGGTTTTCAGGGTAGCTAGGAATTTTCTGTAGATGTATATCCCAGGCATAGATCCAGGAAATATCTTATCCGAGGGGATTGTAGGCTGTCTTTATTTTCTACAAGGAGGGTTAACTTTTTGCAGATGTAACTCCTAAAAATGTGTTATATTGTTGCCCTATGCTTGATGGAGGGGGAATAGTCTTTTGAATGTACCATCCCAGTAACATTTTGTCTGTAGATTTGCACTTATGGGCCTTTTACATAGTCTTTCCACTTTTGAAATCATGATAAATATACAGAACCTAATTTATTTTTGTATGTGCTCCTGTATTTTGCTAATCTGTGAATAAGACATCAGAGTGTGTTATCTTTGTAGTAAGGTAACACAACAGTTGTTAGCATTGGACTTTACACAAACTGACTTCAGCTTGTTATGTTTCCTTTTCAGTTTATGCTGTGAATGAATTGGGTGAAATGGGTTTGCTTTATTGAAAGTATGGGAGTAAGTAGCTTCATTAACTTACCAAAGTTGCTGGTGAATGGAAATAGATAGCAAGTGAAGAGCCATTTTAAAATGTGCACCAAGTTGGAGTGCCAGGATAAATTATGTGATTTCCCTTCCTTTTAACTTCTGGAGTAGACTTGTTATCCTACCCGTATAGAAAGGACTGTTATATCACAGGAGATGAAGGTAACATCAAGGCAGGGAGTTAAAGGTTTACGAAGCTTCAGTCACCGATTCAATTCGGAGAAGATTCAGCCTGATTCGGAGGCGAAATCGCCAAATCCAAATCAAATTGGGAGGAAAAAACCTCCGAATCAATTTGGAAAAGATTCGGAGATTTGGAAAGCAGTCTTTCAAGGGAACAGAAATTGAGAAGAGGGAGGGGGAGCAGGGGGGAAAGACTGACATCTGTAGCTGGCTAGTGACTGTGAGCTTTCCCTGAGTCCTTTCCAATCACAGTGCTGTGGGGCAGGGATGTAGAAACAGCATGTAAGTCTCTGTCTGCAGCCTTTCTGTCCCTCTTGTGAGCTGTTTCTGCCTGAACAACAGTGTCTGAAAGGTACTGGACTGGCTTGGCTTCCTAGTGGTCAATCTCCTGCTAGTTTCTGTTCTTGGAAAGGATTGGATACAGCTTACTAACTAGAATCCCTCTACTTTTATCCCTATCCAGTCCATTTCTTCCAACTTACTCTTCTCCCCAAAACCTCTGATTTGTTCTTGTTTACCTCGCGCGCACGCACACACGCACCGCCCCCCCCCCCCCCCC